ACGGGGCCCTGATCTCGGTCACCGTGTGTCTGGGCAGCGCCCGGCGCGACGGGGCCTTGATCTCGGTCACGGTGTGTCTGGGCAGCGCCCAGCGCGACGGGGCCCTGATCTCGGTCACTGTGTGTCTGGGCAGCGCCCGGCGCGATGCAGCTCTGCTCTGCTCTCGGGTGGAACTAGCGATGCTGCTGTCATTCAGTAACCTTAATCAAAGCAGAAACCAATTACCCACGGAACATGAAATTGACGCCGCTGGCTTTGCCGCCCAAGCTGGGCGCAGGGAAATCAGCGTGCGGCAGAGACGACGCGAGGCCAGCTCGCTCTCTCCCGCTGTGTCCGCATCGGGGCCGAGGGTTAATGGAAACACGGGCCAGGCGTCTGCAGAGACCGAACCTCCCCCGTTCCATTAGCTCCGGCTCACTTGACTCCCCAAGGAGCTTTGAACGGCTGGCTCTGCTGGCGCTACCGAAGCCCAAGCAGGCAATTGACTTTGAATTAGACCGCCTGAAATGGTCCCTCGCTCTTCCGCTCGGAGGGGGGCCACTCAGGCTGGTCCTGTCGCGCCAGGCAACCCTTAAACAGAACCTATCCGGGCTGGCTTTAGCCTGGGCGGGGCGCAGGCATCCAGCAAACGAACAGTCTACAGGTGAGCTGGTGAGGGAAGCTCCTTCCTCAGGGCCTGAACTTCCCTGCCCAGTAAGGAGTTAGCCACACCAGGGTGGGGCGGCAGGGGGACACGGGCCCACCCTACTCCACCGCGTCCCAGCCCAGGGCCCGGGCAGGGGCAGGATTGGCTGCCCCTGCGTCGGTGGGGATCCAGCCCCAACGCGCCGACTGAGCCACGCCGAGCTCTGCAGCCGGCTGCTCCGTGGCTGCCCCTGGGTTACTTCCTGCCACCCCGGGGTTCGGTCCCTCTAGCTTCCAGTCCTCTTCCAGCTCCTCGGGGTAGACGGCAGCAGGCACTCCGGGCCAGTCCTCTCGGGGACACGGCCGAACCGGCAGAGCGGCCCTCTCCTCCACAGGCTCCCCTCCGATTGTGCTGCCTTTTCTACTTCCGGCCACGCCCCGGTACTTCCGGCGAGGGGGGCGGGGTGATCTAGGCTCCGCCCTCCAAGAGGCATGTAATGGTCCCTCGCTCTCCTGCTCTGAGGGGGGCCACTCGGCCTCACTACACGCCCTTCTTGCTCCGATTGGCTCCTCTCACACACACCCTGCACCCTGGAGATCAAGCTGCAATTTCCCCTGGAGATGCTCTTTTCCTTCCCCCCTTCATTTCCATGCCATGTCCAATTGGAAGGTTTCTGGAGCTGGAAAGTGCATCGGGGCACCCCAAGTGTCAGGGGAAGATGAGCTGTTTCCTTTGCCTCGTGCAGAGCATCCCCAAATCATACGCAAACGCGCACCATTTGTGGAGCACCGTCGTGCCAGCCAGAGTGACCACGGCTGATGGTGTCACACCAGACGGTGTGTAGATCTGGCTCAGTCCCGAGGTGCCACGAACCTCGGGGCGGCCCTGTCAGGTCAGGGCGTGGCCTCCCCCGTCGCACGTCGGTGCAGCATTGGAGAGCACGGTGCGCTGAGTGGGCGAGGTTGTCCATCCTGACGAAAACAATGAGCGGCTGGAGGAAGGACAGATCGTTGTGGGACTGGGACATTTCACATGAAGTCAGACCATGTCCGTAGTGCGACCTGGACTCAGGCAGGAAGTGGCGAGACCTCTCCGTGGGGGAGCGTCCCGTTCGCTGCGACCGGTCAAACAATGCCAGCAGTCTAGGTAGATGAACTCATCCCCACTCCCCATGGTGCTTGGCTCTTCCTGCACCCGGGGTTCTGCTGGCCCAGCTCCCAGGTCTGGATCTTGGTCTTCTGCCAGGAGACGTTCAACTCCACAGCGTGGAGGGTGGGGCTGAAATTCTCTGACTTCGTATAGAGGAGCGGAATCACCCCTGCGGCGCCTCCTGCTGGTGACTCTGGGAATCAGTTCGTTCAGCATCTGGAGCGCCCTCTACAGGCCGGTGATCCACCTTGTCCCTCGCACTGGCCCCCGTGTCCCTCCCAGGACCCCGGGGCCCCTTGCTCTGGGTGCTGCCCCCGAGCAGTACCCCACAGATCTGGGTCTCCCCCAACGGGGAACCCCCACCCACTATCCCCACCTTGCCTCAGTACTAGGCCACTGCCAGTCACCAACTAGCCCCCGCTCCCTGGGGCAGACTGCAGTATAGGCCACTCATCACAGGCAAGGGGGGTTTGGACCTGCTGCCTTGGCCTAACCCTGAGCTACCCTCTGCAACCCCCAGTACCCATGGGCCCTCTGCTAGGCCGCAGCCTGGGGCTTTCCAGGCTGGAGCTCCCCAGCTCCTCAGCCTTTCCCCAGCCCTGCTCCACTCAGGTACCCTGTCTCTAGCTCCCTTCTCTCTCTGAAGGCAGAGAGAGACTGCGTGGCCTCTGGCTCACAGCCTTTTTATATAAGGCCAGCTGTGGCCTGATTGGGGCGTGGCCCTCCTCCAGGGCAGTTTTAAACCCCTCAGGGCAGGAGCGGGTATCCATCCCGCTACACTTCCCCACAGTCCAGGCAGCCCTTAGTCAGTGAACAGGTCTTGACCAACCTTGATTCCGACAGGTGGCCCAGCAAGTCCTACTAGCCAGTCGCCGGTGTAGAAATGTGGTGAGAGCCGGGACCTGGCACACACTCCGGTACCGGTGTGACGATCATGCGCCACATTTAGCAGAACGCCTGGGGCACCACCGGTGCCTTTCAGTGCGAGCCCAAATGCTGAGCATGTGCGGTGTGATTGTCGCCGTCCCGGTCCCACAATATTAGAGAGACAAAATGGGGGAGGGGATATCATTTATTGGCCCAACCTCTGTTGATGAGAGAGAGGCTTTCAAGCTACACAGAGCTCTTCTCCAGGGCTGGGAAAGGTACAGAGCATCCCAGCTCCATACAAGATTAAGGAGTGAACACAGATTTCAAGGGCCCATTCAAGGCAGAGAGGCCCGTTAAGGCCCCTGCAGTCACAGGACACAAAGAGGGGTTGGTGGGCTACCGATTGCTGTAATAAGCCATGAATCCAGGCTCTCCGCTCAGACCAGGATTTCTAGTTGTGACGGGTTGGATCACAGAAACCCCCTTGGGAGCTGCCCCCTGATGTGCTGAGACTACCTCTGAGCCTCTTTTCCCTGCCAGCTTGGGACTTCAGTGCCCTGCCTTGTTTGAGCTAGACATGCTAGCCTGCTGCAAACCCAGGCCCAGGTCTGAACCACATCCCCCAAACGCTGCAGGCTTAACTGAAAACAGCTTAAGAACTGCTCCTGTCTCCAACACTCAGATGCCCAGCTCCCAATGGGGTCCAAACCCCAAATAAATCCGTTTTACCCTGTATAAAGCTTATACAGGGTAAACTCAAAAATTGTTCACCCTCTATAACACTGATAGAGAGATATGCACAGCTGTTTGCCCCCTTCGCCCAGGTATTAATACATACTCTGGGTTAATTAATAAGTAAAAAGTGATGTTATTAAATACAAAAAAGTAGGATTTAAGTGGTTCCAAGTGATAACAGACAGAACAAAGTGAATTACCAAGCAAAATACAATAAAACACGCAAGCCTATGCCTAATACAGAAGGAAAACTGAATACAGATAAAACCTCACCCTCAGAGATGTTTCAATAGGCTTCTTTTACAGACTAGCCTCCTTCTAGTCTGGGTCCAGCAATCACTCACACCCCCTGTAGTTACTTTCCTTTGTTCCAGTTTCTTTCAGATATCCTTTGGGGTGGAGAGGCCATCTTTTGAGCCAGCTGAAGACCAAAATGGAGGGGGTTCCAGCGGCTTAAATAGACTCTCTCTTGTGGGTGTAAACCCCTGCCCCTCTCCTATGCAGAATCCAGCTGCAAGATGGAGTTTTGGAGTCATATGGGCAAGTCACATGTCCATGCATGACTCAGAACTTTACAGGCCGAGCTACATTCCCAGGGAAGCTCAGATGTGGATTGGCGTCTTTCAAAGTTCATTGTCAGCTTAGTGTTTCTTGATTGGGCACTTACTGAGACTAGTCTATTCTCAAGAAGCTGCCCAAATGCTTCACTGAGGCTACTTAAAATCAAACAAGTACATAGCCAATATTCATAACTTCGAATACAAAAATGAGACATGCATGGAAATAGGATGAATATATCCAGGAGATCATAACCTTTGCAGAGATATGTTACATGGCGTATCTAGCATAAAACTGTCATGGCGAGGCTCTGGAACTGCTCCCCATGAAGCCAGGCAGGACTCTGGTGAAGTCTCCTCTCTCGGAGCAGACTGTCCCCGGGCAAGGAGCTCACACGGCTTCACCTTCCTGGGTCTGACCTTGGAGCATTCAGCATCCTCTGCCCCTCCATGCGCTTCCCACAGCAAGTCCGCCCAGGCGGGGTCCTGGGGAAGCCAGAGGGTCCTGCACCCCCACTTCGCAGTCAGACATGACTCTCAGCCAGCCAGTAAAACAGAGGTTTATTAGATGACAGGAACACGATCTAAAACAGAGCTTGTGGGTACAGAGAACAGGACCCCTCAGCCGGGTCCACTTTGGGGGGCAGTGAGCCAGACACCCACGTCTGCACTCACTCCATGTCCCCAGCCAGCTCCAAACTGAAACTCTCCAGCCCCTTCTCTCCCTTTGTCCCTTTCCCAGGCCAGGAGGTCACCTGATCTCTTTGTTCTCCAACGCCTTTGGCTGGCACCTTTGTAGAGGAGGGGCCCAGGTCATTAGTTGCCAAGAGACAGAGTGTCGGCCATTTTCTGTCCAGACAGCATCACATCGGCCCTCTAGGGCTCTACAACATTCACACCCCCTTCTCCCACCACCTAGATACTTAAGAACTGCATAGGGGAAACTGAGGCACCCACCCAGTATTCAGAGAAAACATTAAGAACAGTCCCACTTCGTCACAAAAACGTATGCCAGTTATGTCATATTTACATTCATAAGCATATTTCTGTAAAGCATTATGGGGTGCAACATCACACTAGTTAGGAATTTAAACTCCCGGGCTCCTCGTTTGAAAGTGTTGGGCAGGTTTCCGTTGAGGAGGAGGAAGGAGAGGTCAGTTATGGAGCGATCGCTTTGTGGAAAGTGTTCGCCCACTGGGGACGGGGTGGTTTTGTCTTTTGTCATTTCCCTTGAGAGCTCATTTGCGAGCGCAGGGACTGTCTGGCTTCACCCACGTGGTTGTGATGGGGGTGTTTAGTGCGCTGGCTGAGGTTACACCACATGTTGTGCTAGGCATGGGCAGGACCCATGGACCTTGAACGATGTGTTGTGGGGGGCGCTGATCACTGCAGCGGTGGAGATACGGCTGCAGGTTTTTCATCTGTTGTTCTGGTAGGGTCTGGTGCCGCTTTGAGTTGGTGGGTCCATACTGTGGATGACGATCTCTGTTGAGGAGCGGCTGCCTCCCAAAAGGCAGGGGAGATGAGGTGGCGGGCTGGGGTGACGGCGGGATTTGGATAAGGGCATTAAAGTGACAAACAATCGTGCAGCGCTCACACAGCAGATGCAAGTGCGATCGGAAGAAGGTCGGGGTCTGTAGTCCCATTGAACAGAGAGAAAAACTGAGGCACGGGCAGAACGCAGTTAGGGCTCGAGGTCAGACAAGGTATCAGTGGCAGAGCTAAAAATCGAACCCAGGAGTCCTGGCTCCCAGCATCCCCCTGCTCCAACCGACTAGACCCCTCTCCCATCCCAAAGCAGCGCAGAACCCAAGAGTCCTGATTCCCAGCCCAGTGCACCACCCGCTCCTTTCTTCTCTGGTTCCCCTCCCCGATCCCTAATGCCCGCAGTGCATCCCCGTCCCCATGCCCTGAGCCGCAGGGCGCACCCAAGGCACGGCAGCCGGCCCCTGCTCCCAGAGGGAGGGGTTGCAGGGCCCTTCCCTAGACCGCGTTGTCCCTGGCAGCTCGATCGCCCTGTCCCAGTCCCGGGGCGTCGGGCAGGAGGCTGAGGCAAGTGTTGGCGCGGGCGCACTGCCCGTTGTGCCGCTGCCTGTGCCGGACGTAGCCGCGCAGGTGGGCTCGGCACTTGCGGTGCAGCGAGGCGTAGATGAAGGGGTTGTAGCAGGCCGAGCTCATGGCGACCAGGTGGCAGGAGACCTGGGCCAGGTTGATGTAGCGCTTGCCCAGGAGGGTGAAATCGGGGTCCAGGTCCCGGAGGAGGTTGAGGACCTGCAAGGGCAACCAGCACACGGCAAAGACCAGGACAGAAACCACCAGCAACAGGAAGGTCTTGCGCTTCTTCTTGTCCCACCGGGCCTGGCTGAGGTTGGCCGAGCCGGGCAGGCTCCTCCGGCGAAGGTGGGCCGAGATGAAGCAGTAGGAGACAGTGACGGCCAGGAGGGGCACCACGTAGGAGAGGAGGAGCATGGCGCAGGAGTAGGCCAGCCTCTGCCTCTCCATGTGCCTCCAGAACTCCTCGCAGATGATCAAGTCGTGTCCGATGGGCCGCAGATCCACGTAACTGGTGTGCCAGGCGGGTGGGGCGGCCAGGGCCAGGGCCAGGGCCCAGATGGTGGCCACCACCAGGCCGCAGTAGCGCAGGGCGATGCGCCGCTGCACGGGGTAGGCCACCACCACGTAGCGGTCCACGGCGATGGCCGCCAGCGAGAGCACTGAGACGTAGACGGTGGCGGCCTGCAGCAGGGCCACGGCGTGGCACATGGCGCGCCCGAAGAGCCAGCCCCGCCCCTCGAAGGCGTAGGAGGCCGTCAGAGGCACGCAGGTCAGGCACATCAGCAGGTCGCCCAGCGACAGGTTGCCCAGGAAGAAGTTGGTGGCGTTGTGCAGCTTCTTGTTGGCGGCGATGCAGCCCACCAGGAAGGCGTTGCCCAGGCAGGCCACGGCCACCAGGAGGCAGTAGAGGGGGATGAACAGCGGCTTGAAGTGCAGCAGCAGCTCCAGGCCGGCGAAGAGATCCTTGGGGTGGCTGGTGTTCCCCGGCCCGGGGCTGCTGCCATTGGGCTCCATGGGGTCACCCTGGGAGAGAGGGATCACAGTCACCCATGGGTGGGGGATTCTCAGTGCAGGAGCACTGGCTGTGGGGGGAGCTCCCTGCTACACCAGTCCCAGCCTCTCCCAGTAGGGGGCTCTGAGGGGCACTGGCTGTAGGAGGAGCTTCTGGCTACTCCAATTCCAGCCTCGCCCAGCAGGGGGCGCTGTGGGGAGTGGGGCAGGAGCTGGCTGTGGCGGGGGCTCCCAGCTACTCCAGTGTCAGCATCTCCCGGGGGAGGAGGGGTGGGGCTGGGGTTTTAAAGTATCTTTCATCTAAGGACCTGGGGGTGCTACAGACTGACGGAGGAAGCCTCCCAAAGCCCCAGGGAGGCAGGAGTGTGACTGTTGTTCAACCAGTCTAGGCTGGCTGCCAGCCCCTCTGCGCTAACCACTGGACCCCGCTCCTCTCCCAAAGCTGGGCATAGAACCCAGGCGTCCTGGCTCCCTGGTCCCCATACAGCCGTCTAGCCGGCCCGGAGCACGACTCAATCAGCCGCGCAGTCTCTGCCTGGGCGCAGTTTTCCCTCTAACTCGCGTTTTCAAAAGACAAAGCAGCGGGTGGGGGTGAGTCTCCAGCTCCACATGGGGGTGTCTCCACACCACCACCCCCAGAGCTGGAGAAATCCCCCCACTCTCTGGCCAGTTGGGGGGTGTTAACCAGCGACTCCTAGAGCCCCCCGAGATCACCGCCCCTGCTCTGGCTGCATGGAAAGGAGGGAAGCATCGCCCCTCACATCCTGCCAGGTGGGAATGAGGGAGCCCAGGGAAACGAGAGCCTATGGAACCGATTGCGTTAGCAGCAAAGCCCCTGGGGCCCTGCCCCGAGCCCCAGACCCGTCTCAACCCAGAGTCACCCCGGCTCGGCTGCAGTCGCTCTGGATTAGCCCCAGAGTCACCCAGGCCAGGGTCAGGCTCACCCAGCCAAACCTCAGCCCCCGGGTGTAACAGTGAGGAGAGAGCCGGGGGCGGGGAGGGGTGGAAACAGGACACGGGGTATGGGAGAGATTCAGTGGGGTGAGGGCAATAAAAACGCACAGACAGGATAGATAGATAGATAGATAGATAGATAGATAGATAGATAGATAGATAGATAGATGTGTATGGTGAAGCATGGATAGATAGATAGAAGGTGGGATGGATGGTAGAGGGGTGCGTATGGGATGGATGGATCGCAGGGGGTGGATGGATGGTAGAGGGGTGGGTATGGGAGGGATGGATCGCAGGGGGGTGGATGGATGGTAGAGGGGTGGGTATGGGAGGGATGGATCGCAGGGGGGGGGGTGGATGGGAGGG